TGTGTTTGCTCTTGTTGTCCAACATGAAAGACAACTTGGAATTTCTTCTGCTCCTTCCGGACCTAGTCACACTTCATCCTTGTTCTACAGCAAGAGTGTTCCTTATCCCGGTCATTCAAAACCCGATATCTCTACTTCGGTAATCGTTTTTTGGAACACATGTTGGCTCTAATTTTTCACGCTTTGAGGGAAGAAAGCCTATTTGTACTCATTGTGGTGGAATGGGTTATATGGTGGATCGATGTTATTAGAAACATGGATTTCCACACGGTTTCTTCGGTTATAAAAACAATAAGCAAGGATCAACGAGTCTCCTCTTGTTTTTAGAACAACAAGCGAGGCTTTACGACTACGACTACTCAACCTACTTCTACTCACTCGATTCTCATTGTTCTAAAGATAATGCATTGACTAATATCAACGGATATGGTGCCTTTCAACGAATCAATCCACCCTTACTCGGGATCAATACATGAGTTTACTCGTCACTTTTACCTAATTCACCTAATCCAACTTCTAATGCATCTTCGAATGACACAATACATCTTCTATTAACACCGTTAATAGCCATTCTTCCATAGCACCACACTTCACGGTATCCATTTTTCTTCTTGTAATTTTACTCACAGTATTGATACCTCTGTTTGGATTCTCGACACCGGTGCCACATATCATATAATTTGCTCTTTGTCTTGTTTCTCTTCTTATCATCAAATCACACACGTATTTGTCAAACCGCCAAATAATCAGCATGTTCAAGTCATTCACAAAGGCATCGTCATTTTGTCGAATTACTCGTTCTAATAGATGCTTTGTTTGTTCTAACATTTTCCTTTAATCCGATTTTCGCATGCAAATTAACGAAATCACTAAATTATTGTTTGATCTTCTCTCTCTCTTCGTGTTATTCGGGACTCGCATTCTAAAAAGATGATTGGTTTAGTCGAGGAGAGACATGGCTTATACATGATGAAACACCCTTTTTCCTCTATCGAGTCCGTTACCACACCTCGAATCCGTTCAACCTTTTTTCATAATTCGATGCTTTATGGCATTACGGATTAAATCACTTGTCTAATTCTAGATTGCAAATTTTACATGCTTCCCATTCGGAGATTCCTTGTACTCGTAACTGCGAAACATTGTGAAATCCGCCACTATGCAAAAACAAAAAGATTGCCTTTTCCGGAAAGCCGATCCTTTACTTCCTCTTGTTTTCAATCAGTTCATATGGATATTTGGGGTCCAATGTCCATCCCTTCGATTTATGGCCATTTATATTTTCTTACTATTGTGGATGATTTTAGCAAAGCCATTTGGATTTATTTGATGAAGCAAAAATATGAAACTAGAGCTTTCATAGATGAGTTCGAGTGCACTTGTGAAAACTCAATTTAACACAAAAATTCAAACCATTAGGATCGAAAATGGACAAGAGTTCAACATGCCTTCATTCTTTTCTTCTAAAGGCATCATTCATCAAACCTTTTACACCGACACACCTCAACAAAACAATACAATATAAAGAAAGTATCAACATATTCTTAATGTAGCTAGAGCACTAAGATTTCAAGCTCATTTACCACTTTATTTTTGGGTAGATTTCATTTTACATGCTTGTTCATCTCATCAACAAAACTCCCTTACCCCTCATTGACAACAAAACTCCTTTTGAACTTCTTTTCCATAAACCACCATCTTATACCAATCTAAAGGTTTTTGGTTGCTTGTGCTACTCTACTCATTACTGGCCATAAATCTAAGTTTGCATCTAGAGCTACTCGATGCATTTTTCTCGATTACAAGTCTAGGACTAAAGGATATCGGTTGTATGATCCGAAAGCTAAACAATTCTTTGTTTCTAGGGATGTTTTCTTATATGAAGATGTATTTCCTTTTGCTCCAAATTCTACCTTTCCTTTTGCCGGTTCTTCATCTCCACTTGTCCCGCCTATCGTTAACCTTCCGATTCATCATCCTCCTAGTATAGATGATGACCCTTTTCTTATAACACCTCGCCTTTGTCACACTTGTTAGTTCTTTATCACCTCCTCCTACTAATTCCTCGTTCTCCTCCATTTCATCGAACCACTAGATGTGTCCTTCCTTCTAATTACCTTCATGATTATCACTCGCTCTCTTACTTCCAACTTGTCTCCCTAAAGCTCGCTATATCATCTTCATAGAATGCTCCTCCTATTTTGATGCCAAGTACACCATATTTCTTTTCTTCTGTTTTATCTTATGATAATTGTTCTTCCTTCCACAAATCTTTTTTCGTCGGCATCACTACCAACATTGAACCTAAAAATTATACCGAAGCCATTAAGCATTCATGTTGGAGAGATGCCATATCTCGCTGAAATTAAGGCTTTGCACGACACTCGGACTTGGGAATTAGTTCCTTTACCTCCTCACAAACATCCCATTGGTTGTAAATGGGTCTTCAAAATTAAACATCGGGTAGATGGCTCTATGGAGAGGTATAAAGCACGACTTATTGCCAAAGGCTACACACAACAAGAAGGGGTAGATTATATGGATACTTTCTCTCCTGTAGCTAAAATGACAACTCGTCGGGACTTTATTAGCCATAGCTGCTGGACAAAATTAGTATCTGCAGACAATTGGACATCAATAAAGCTTTCTTACATGGTGATCTTGATGAAGAAATCTATATGAAGCTCCCTCATGAATTGACTGATGTCCCTCCTAACATGGTTTGTAAGTTACTCAAATCCCTCTATGGATTAAAACAAGCTAGCAGACAGTGGTATTCTAAACTTTCTATTGCCCTTTTCGAGTCATGGTTTTCATTAAGCGACTTCTAATCCTTCTTTATTTACTAAACATACTAGTGGTAATTTCATTGCTCTATTAATATACGTTGATGACATGATTTTGGCTAGTAATACTCTTGATGAAATTATAACTGTCAAAAAATTTCTTAATACTACCTTCGAATTAAAGACTTAAGTGATCTTAAATTCTTCTTGGGACTACATGTTGCTCGGTCTAACTCGGGTATCAATCTTAGTCGGAGGAAGTATGCTTTAGACCTTTTCAAGATTATGGCTTTCTTGGCGATAAACTCATCCAACCTCCTATGACAGATTCCACATCCCCGTATAATCCTACCGAGTCCCTTATTGCCGCATTCCACTCGCTACGGGTAATTAATTGGGAGGTTGTTGTATTTAACCACTACAAGACTTGACATTTCCTTTGCCATAAAATAATTATCATAGTTCCTTGACAAACCTCTAGAAGTTTGTCTTCAAGTCGCCCATCGTGTGTTGAGATACATCGAGGGATCTCTTGGATAGGGGTTGTTCATGGCCAAAAATTCCTCATTTAAACTAAAAGCTTTCGAGTGATTCAGATTAGGCCACATGTTAGATTATACGAAAGTTTGTAATGGGTTTATGTGTCTTCCCGGGTCCTTCTTTGATTTCATGGAAATCCAAGAAACAACGGATTGTTTCTCGTTTTTCTTCGAAACCGAATATCGTGCCTTGGCTATTCTTACTTGTGAAATCCAATGGCTTCTATTCTCGCTACGTGATTTCCAAATTCCTCATCCTAGCTCTACTTGTCTTGTTTTGTGAAAACCAATCGGCTCTACATATTGCTCATAATCTCGTTTTTCATAAACGTACAAAGCATATTGAACTAGATCGTCACATTATGCATTAGAAACTCCAAGTTAGCTCGATTCATCTTCTTCTAGTTTCCTCTTCCAACCGAGTTAGCTAATTGTTTTAACAAAGCTCGCATCCAACTGCTTTCGTAGCTAACATTATCAAGTTCGGGCATTCTTGATATGTATGCTCCGACTTGAAGGGGATATCACACTCGAAACTTACCATAGAGCTCCCTTATGCTAGACGAGCTCCCTTATGCAAGACATGCCTCCTTTTCTTCTACTCGTTTTACTCGTTATGCTCTAGTTGGCTTTCGGTTTTATTCCTTTGTTTTCTTTTGTTTTAGTTGCTTATAACAAATTAGCTAAACGCTAGTCTTTTACTCTTTTACCCTTACTAATTGTATATATAAAGCACATAAGAGAGAGAATAAATTTGAATTTTCAAGGTCCATAAAAAATGTTTCCGTTACAATAAGTAGGATCTGCACAATAGAAGAATATGACACAAAGCGAGCATTACCGGTCTCAAGAAACCTCCCTCCTCTCGCTTACACGGCTCTGTCCAAAATGCCTCATGGCACTAGATAGTATTGAAATATTTTAAGTTACACTAAATCCATTACATAGCATTGTCTAACTTATTAGTAGGGATGTCAATTTTATTTGAATAATCAAATCCTATTTGAGTCTAGTCAAATGCAAAAATGCATAAATAGTTCACATATCTTTATTTTCTAATTATTATTATTATTTTATAGGGTTGTAATTTTAGTTTTTAATGTAATACATAGATTTTATCTTATGTTAGATGGAGATTTTTTTATGGTTTTAAGCAAAATTTGAAATTTAAACTCTATTTTATGATTTTTATTATTTACGGATGGATGAAGATGTGCTTTTTTTTTTTTTAATTTTAATTTTGTAAAATGGATTTTTCTCAAAATCTAAATCTAGTAAAGTATTCATCAGGAAAAAAAGTCTTCCATTCAATCTAATTCGATTAGATCATATATAAAACAGATGATGAATTTGAACATTTCGAATTGAGGACAGATGGAAGAAAATATGGCTCCGATCCGATGCATTGTCATCCTAGCTATTAGCTGTCCTAAAGACATTACTAACAGGCCCATCACATGTCGGGCTCGAAATCACTGACCAGCCCGAAAAAATCGGACAAGGTCGGGTTCGGACCTTACAAATTTAACTCTGGTCCCCAGGAGGATGGGATATTTTATTTCTTTTTTGAATTACTTTCAACAAAGTAAAACGATGACGTATCATTATCCAATGAAAACTCAGTCCCTGTTCTTTCTCTGCTCCGCTACGCGAACAACGGTTGCTGAGCTCCACCATGAGATGGAAAACCCACCGCCGCCATCTCCTCCTCTCTACTATAACCAGAGCCGCCATCCTCATCCGGCGGTACGGCACAAAATATACAGCAAAAATAACATCAACATCACCAACAGGACGCAAAGTGTCAGCCCAAGTAACCCCACCTGAACCTCTTCCTTTCGACTCTCGTGGCTACCCAATCCCACGCCGTTACCTCATCTGCAAAGCCACCCAAATCCTCCTCCAAACCCACGGATCTCCGCAAAAACTCCTCGACCCCACCGACCCTTTCCGTTGCCTCCAAAACTACCTCTCCACCCTCTCCATTTCTCTCACTCCCAACGAAGCCTCCGAAATCCTCAAATCCCTAAACTCCCCTTCTCTCGCCCTCAGGTTCTTCCACTTTTGCCCCTCCCTTTCTGCTAAATTCCACCACGACTCCATCACCTACTCTCGCATCCTCCTCATCCTCTCCAAATCCAACCTCCCCGATCGATTCCACCTCGTCCGTTCCCTCGTCTCGGAGATGGAGAAGAACGGGGTGATTGGGTCAATCTCCACCGTCAATATATTGATTGGTTTTTACGAGGAAAGTGAGGACTTGGAGAAGTGTATTGGGCTGATCAAGAAATGGGGATTGAGGATGACAGGATATACATATAAGTGTTTGGTTCAAGCTTATCTGAGATCACGCAATACTGAAAAGGGTTTTGCGGTTTATCTCGAGATGAAGAAGAAAGGCTACATGCTCGATATTTTTTCTTATAATATGCTCTTGGATGCCTTAGTCAAAGACAGCGAGGTTTGATTTTTTTTCGTTTTCTTTCATTCTCTCCTTTTTTTTTTCGTGGGTTTTCCCTTGTTGTAAACAAAATGAATGACAATGCTATAATTTTAGTAGAGAAATTGAATCAACAAAGCAAGCAAACGTTGTTGTGTCTGTGGCGGATGTGTGTGTCTGTTGTATTGCTGCTTTGATTGATGATTGTTTCCTGATTAGCTGATATGCAGCATTTCGACAGGTTGACCAAGCTTACATGGTTTTTGAGGATATGAAAAGGAAGCATTGTGAGCCGGATGAGTATACTTATACCATTATGATCAAAATGACTGGAAAGATTGGTAAACCTGACGAATCATTGGCACTCTTTCAGGAAATGTTGAAGAAGGACTTCACTCCTAATTTAATTACTTGGAACACCATGATCCAGGCACTTGCTAATGCTCGGATGGTGGACAGGGCCATTCTTCTTTTCTCGAAGATGGTGGAGAAAGAGTGCCGGCCTAGTGAATTTACGTACAGTGTCATTCTCCATCTTCTGGCTACAGAAGGGAAACTTGATAGGCTAGATGAGGTTGTGGAAGTGTCGGAGAAATATATGAATAGGGCAATTTATGCATATCTTGTAAAGACTCTGAACAAATTGGGCCATGCAAGTGAAGCTCACAGGCTGTTTTGCAACATGTGGAGCTTCCATGAAAGGGGAGATAGGGATGCATGCGTGTCCATGTTGGAATGTTTATGCAGTGCTGGTAAAACAACTGAGGCCATTGACCTGCTGGGTAAAATTCATGAGAAAGGAATAAGTACTGAAACAGTCATGTATAATACAGTATTAGCTGCACTTGGTAAGTTAAAACAAATACCTCAACTTCATGATCTTTATGAAAAGATGAAGCAAGATGGTCCTTTGCCAGACACCTTCACCTTCAATATTCTGATTTCAAGCTTTGGTAGGGCAGGAAAAGTTGATGAGGCTATTAAAATATTTGAGGAACTTGAAGACAGCGATTTTAAACCTGATATTGTCTCTTACAATTCTTTGATTAATTGCCTTGGGAAGAATGGTCATCTTGATGAAGCTCACATGAGGTTTAAGGAAATGGGGGAAAAAGGATTTAATCCTGATGTTGTGACATACAGCACTCTCATAGAGTGCTTTGGCAAAACAGATAAAGTCGAAATGGCTTGCAGGTTATTTGACGAGATGCTGGCCGAAGGCTGCTCTCCTAATATTGTAACTTACAACATCTTACTTGACTGTCTTGAGAGTAGTGGAAGAACTGCTGAAGCTTTTGATTTGTACGCAAAACTTAAACAGCAAGGTTTAACTCCTGATTCAATAACTTATGCAGTGCTTGCACGATTGCAAAGTGGTTCACATGGAAAGGTTAGAGTTCGCAAGCAGAATCCAATCACAGGTTGGGTTGTTAGTCCATTAAGGTGAGGAGGATGATCGCAATAGCCCCCGAGTTGGTCCTCAATTTGTCTGTGGCAATAGAGATGACCTGCTTCTAATTCAATGATTGGCGATGACTGATTTTCTGTATAATTTGTCAAGGTGCTGCATTGGTTCGGGATTGAATACAGAATTTCAATGGATGATATTCTCTCTCTCAAGGAAGAGTCTCAACTTTTGCAAGTATTACTGCATCTTGGTGGAAACAAAGTTCATCCTATTCTTTCAGCAGGAACGAAACAAACTTCAAATCAAGAGATACTGTAAAACTGAGACTTACGGGAAGCAGTGGGATTCTGGATACTGATTCTAACCCGAGAAATTGCAAGGCTTGGGATTTCCTTCAGATGAATTCTGTAATGCTTGGTGTCCTTGAAAGGTTACAGACTAGAAATAGTAATTCTTTTCGTTTCTTAATATTTTGCGTTCAACAAAAAAACAACTTTGTATCTACTAGTCATTAATTGAAATCATCAAGGAAATATAAGCAGTTAGCCTCAACAATGTCTCCTGTAACTCCTATGAAAATCAATATGGGATGATCAAAAAAATAATTTCTTCAAAATGAACTACAAATAAGAATCCAGGTTTTAACTGGTATGGTAATATCATTGCTTCAATCATTGGCATTCTGCAACAACCATCAAAGATTTTGGTTCAGTGGAGCATGGATCGCCACCAAATTGTCGATCTGATACCGGGATGGAACACTTCATCTTCCCTAGACATGCCTGGAAAGAATGCCTATTTAGATAAAATGCACAAGGCTCATGCAACAGTCTTAAACATCTTCCAACTTGATTTTTTTAAAAATCTAATCATTGATGCAGTGTTGAGATCAAATACTGTCATGAAACAACTGACCTTCCCAACAACAGCTTTTGAATTTTGTGAGTGGCAAGTTCCAACTGCAAAGGTATTTCTACAGTTACCAAGTGGGGTTCCATAGCTTGCAAATGAAATATGTGAAATCTTGCTCTTTGAAGGACAAGCTAGCTGTACTTTAGGTCTTCTGCCACTAATCTTCGCATGATTTTTAGCTCTTCGGTTATGTTCTATCCATGAAGATACTGAAGCCAAATGAGAAGCAGTCACATGACCGCACACTTGTGAGATTGAGGCAATGTCCAAGGATATTTGGAGGGGTTCCCACCCTCCTCTTCCAGTAGAACTAATAGGTTTCCTGTAGGTTTGAGGAATGATCTTGGCACATTATACCTATGAAGAAAAAGAGTTAGGAATAGATATTAGGTGGCATTCAAGACCTTCATGCTAAGGGAAATGAAATCATCTACCTTCCGAAAGCAATTCTACAAGCTATGTAATGGCAACAATCGTTTTAGCAAGTTATTTGTAACTTCAAGGAAAACTTAGCGACTAAGCTACAATGGAATATTTTCAGTCATAAGAACATCTGAGCATGCGTATAACATATGTGTGCAATTATTTCGAACTGAGTAGGGAACTTCAGCATTACACCAAACCAATGCGGGAAACACCATGTCTCCCTCTTTATGCCATCTTCAGTAGTAAATTTAACTTTGACTAAACAAGTTGGACAACAAAAGAGTGGCCGAACAATATGTACCAAAAGCTTCTGATTCTATAGATCACGTACCATGTCTGCGAAGATCCACCCGGGGCATGATACGAGGGCCAATATCGACCAATGCTTTGACCATTAACCCAAGCTTCACCCTTTCCCATGGAAGCAAGATTTAAGGCAACTGGGACATCCCCTGGAGGTGCATCAACCAGAGTCTGGCATATAAACAATCAACAAAATAGATACTATGGATTAGATGTCAAACAATAGTATTTTGATGGACACTATTACCACCATATAATTATATTGGAAAGATTTATACTATATATCAAGAATGTTTAAGAAAAATAATTCTTGAAATTGATCTCGATCAGTATAATACAGCATGCGTTACACTTGTTTGCTTGATATACCACCCCAAATCTAAACAGAATTGGTACTCCAGCATGATCTAGTTTTGGATAGAGAAAAATGTCTAACAACATGGAGAACTATCACACGAACTATTTATATATTACATAAGATATTAGGAAGTTCTGAAAATTGTTTTGTTTTGTTTTTTTTTTTTTTTTTTTTTTGTTTTTTTTTGTTTTTATATGGTTACCTTGTACCATGTAAGTGGATTTCCAGCATTTGAAAACTTCTTCCACTGAACTTGGCTTGATCCTTGTTCTGTGTAAATTTGTAATTTCTCTCCCTGCAATCCTAGCTGCATCAAAAGATAAATAGTTGTGAGCATGGAGGACAGAACAAGTCTTGCTTAAGATTCTACATGATCAAACTGGGAATGTTTAAAACGAATTAGAAGTCATGCAGCAATAATAAAGAACAAGAATGGGTGAGTAAAGAAGAATAATGAGTTCAGGGAAAGGTCAGAAGACAGTACCTGATATCCCCATGGGTAGTTAGTGAAGTCCTTATTGTCTTGTTTATCTCGAATCATCACGCTTCTCAGTCCTGAACCCCTAGTCTCCAGATATGCTCCTGAATCCTTTACACCATTGGAGCAATTTTTTGTGAGATACGTTAAGATAATGATGACAGGTGAACTGAAATTTCTTTAGTATGTTAAGAAAGTAATGACATTGCAAGTGCATATGCACATAGATTCAAAAGAAAAACACTTAAGGCCAATTGAAAAAGGATTCTTCCATAAGAATATAATATAAATCATTCTTAGGGCCTCCCTGACAGCTTAAGATCTTGGGATTGAGAAAGTTTAATGAATACTTCTGTGACATTGGCATACAAAATTACAAGGTAGAGATTGTGGATTTTACCACTTGTATGAAAAGATTTGTACTGCTGTAATGGCACAATTGTTCAGATTGGATTCAAAATCTGTGGAGAAACTGACATGTACAAGCATAATAGAGAATAGTTATTTTGCAAATTGCAAACATAAGAAGCTGTTTTTATCCCAAATTTACAATTTGCAGGATTTCAGGTCTTACTCTCTATCAATGTTTCTCTGTGTTATAACCTGCACAAGCCATGCCTTAAGACTTCTTCCTGTGTAATTTAAACTCAGTTCCTCGAACTTCAAACCAGTGATGCAATGACTTAGTGAGCATTCCACTCAAGACTTCATGTGTTCCATAGTGGTTTAACCAAAATTTTGTGAGAAGATTTGGTGTTTCTTCTTTATGATGTTTCAACTATAGGATTCGAAAGAATATAGATCGTAGAGTCTATAAAATGTAACCTATCATATTAACAAGCTAAAGCAGAGAGCTATAGAAAATATAATGGATTCACTTATGGAACAAAACTGAGTCTTAGAAACTACTCTAGAAAACGTTAGATATCACTTCCACTGTTAAGTCCTTGTCATTGTTGCACAAATATCACAATTAAAAAGATTGAGGATGGTTGAATTTGAATATTACCGGCATTCCAACCATCACACTCAGTAAAGACACATTGTTGATCCCAATGCTCAAAGAAACAGTTCTTTCGAATTTAAACCTTGGATTTTCATGGCTTCCTTGAGCAGATCCTGAAAGATAACAAATCAAGAAGTAGCTTATTATGCTAAAATTTTGGATAATAATGAGGGAAGCTTTTTAAACAAACACTGATAGGAGAAATTCTAATAGCTTGCAACTAAACTCTCTTATGCAAAATATTGTTTTCTGCTAGTACACGATCAGCTTCTCAACTATGCAATTATAAAAACATTCCTAAGCTATGAAATTGTACATAAATTTCATTTCACAAATATATAGCCAACCATTGCAAAATAAAGACTCATTTTTTTTTTTTTCTCAAAGGTGACTTTGAGCTCACCTACTGCTTGTCCGTTGACAAATGCATGCAAAACATGGCCAAAAGAGCTCACATCAAGTATGGCTTGTGGGTCAGATGTTTCATGCTAAAACCTATTGATGAAAAAGTGTGAAGGAAAAAACAATTTCATAAATTAGTAATCAAAATAAGATAATTAGTCAGCATGTTTCAGTTAAGTATATACTTTAGACTTGAATTAAGAAGCCAACTCAAGTTGATGAAAAGCTGTTTTGATCTTCCTGAGTTGGATTAAAATCTGAACCAGTGTATGCTTATTGCAAGAAAAGTCAAACACCAGACTAGTATAGCGTTTCTAAAGCATTCCATGTTATTGTAAATAGATTGCAGCATACCTGAATGTGTACCAAAGATAATCAGATGAATCTTTAGTGGTATTCATCTGCTCCAATAACGTTTCTGATTTTGTCGAGGTGCTCTTGAAATTAGGAATCGCTTCGGTGAATTCCTGCCACATATCTGCAGCATCTAACACCTTGCCTCTTCCCATAGTTCTTGTGCTGTATTGAGTGCTGACCTGCTCAAGATTCAAGAAGTCAAAGATTGAGCCTACCAATTAAAAACTTTTTTTGTAGATACAAAAGGTTCTTGAATTTCATAACAGGGTAAGCAAATGAGTCTTGCCTTCGCAGTATTGAAGGCAACATTCTTGCAGTCAGGCAAGATGCTAATTGACCTTGGAGGCAAATCATATGAAGAATTTCGGAAGGGAACAGATGCGGCATTTGTTGTGTCATTGTTGATGAGAAAAGCAGCACATTCTCCTGTTGGTGCACTAAAGATATAGGCCTACATAGCAACACATAACAATACTAGTTATTATGTTACCAACTCTCCTGCTCCATTTCTGTACATGATTGGAGAGTTCATTGGGCCTGCTACTTTCATGATTCTTGCAGAGTTATGCTTTTCTGCACAACTTTCTCATGAACCATCTGATATACAAAATTCATTTGGCGTTCTATGAAGGAGATGTCATGAAAAATGGGATATACCTATTCAGATGTGTCAATTTCAACAGTATAGAATTTTTTTCTAGTTTGAATAAAAAAGAAGGGAAAATGCTGAGAATTTCTTTCTGGTGTCCTTACTTGCTGCTGTGGGCCTAGGTAGAGATGAGCTTGCACTCCTGAAAGCAAAGGCGTTAAACATAGCTTTAATGCAGCATGCAACTCCTTGAGATGACCCCATTTTGGTTGACTAGTCAATCCTAAATTTCATGAAGTGAGATATCTGGTAAAATTCTCTGTTAGACAACACAGGTAATACTAACTAAAGGTATAAAAGTACATGAAAGCTTACCATACTCATCGAGAGGTGCTTGATCGTAATAACTTGTTGTTACAAATGCAGCTGCTGTCCTTCCGAAATTGGTTCCTCCATGATACTGAGACAGAAGTCAGGCCTTAGCAGAAATATCATAGTTTAAAGTGCATCTGAGGACATATTATTAATTCTCTCAGGAGGCTGGCACGTATATTTCATCTCATATGCGTATTGATATGATTTGCAGGTGAGATTCATGTAAATGTGAGAGGAAAGAAGCTTGTGAACATTTATATAGTTATGAAAGGACAGTAATACCATGTAATAGTTTACAAAGCTTCCCTTCTTCGCAGCGATGAATAATGTTACATGAAATGCAATATCCTCTGCAGATCTCATAGGTGCATCCTCACCATATACTTGATAGCTAAGAGAAACACATGATTTGCCAATGAGTTCAGAGAAATTCTTCTCAGCTGGAAAGCTGTAGTGGTAACAAAAGAAAGGGAAGAATTAGACATAATCATATACTTACTGAGTTGTCCAATTCTCAGTCCATATCGATGGTTTATTGGGTGAGTTAGGACCAACAAATGTCTCTCCACATTTCATTCCATTGCATGAATTTATCTGCAAATTACACTCGATTAATGTCTCTTCTTTTTTCTATTGGGCACATTGAATTGGGAAAACGTATTTGTACAAGGAAGAGATTCAGAAGACCTGTGTCCAGCAATTTACAGTTTCTTAATAAGTCCTTTTGCAGAGAAGGAAGACTAACCACAGGATCAGGAGCATCATTTTGCTTGCACATAAACCATGGCACCCCAGTTTGAAGTCCCACAGCCATTTGTCCTGCCCAATGGACATATGCTAGCCCCTTTTCACCATAAGTTTTCTCCACTGTGCCATATTCATTCTCGATCTACAAATGTGGGAAATGTTAGATTCTAGTAAATTTCCACACACACACACACCTTTGTAGTTTTATTACAAATTCAACCTGTGATAGTATGATTGGACCTCCCTGTGAAGCATATAACTTCTCTGATTGCATCATGCTCACTATCTTTGCTGTAAAGTTCTGCATATGAACCTGCCATGCCATCAATTAAATGAAATTTCCTCACAAAAATACTTCGTATAATGTAGCAATTCACAGTCTGATATTTTTCAGATTGTCTATACTTTCAACCCTATAAACTGCTTAGGAATAAAAGTCATCATGCCATGCCAAGATATGTACTAGAAGTAATGAAAGATTCTTTACCTTGAAAGGTTCATTATCTGATCGAAAAACAATTCCCGGGATGTCATGCAGCCAGAAAGGGAGCCCTCTGCGACATGATAATAAGCATTCATCTATGATTTATAATTTTATTCATTTTTGAGCTAGACGAAGGGAGTATTATTGTATGTGTATATATATATATATATATATTTTACAAAAAAAAGAAAAAAAGGAATGGTGTTTTAATTACCCATAAGACCATTCACTTTGAATAAAGGGTCCAATCCTTAGACATGCATAGAGGCCTTGTGCTTGGACTTCCTTAATGAACCTTACTATGTCATGTCCTCCACTGAAATCATACTAAGAGAGAAATAACAAAAAAGAGTAACAAATATGAGTGAATGTGAAAAATAAGAGAGAATTACAGAGAGAGAGGGGATTTTGCTTTAGCATGGTTATAAATTAAGTTACCTGACCAGGTTGTGGTTCATGGACATTCCAAAACACGTAGGTTTGTACTGCATCCAGTCCTCCTTCCTTGGCTTTGGCTATCAGAGATGGCCACATCTGCAAATATTTACTGTTAGTAACAAAACTGGCAACAGTTATTTCTCTTAATATTCTTTTAGCTCCTTTTTCTTTCGGTTAGCATTCAAATAAGAATCGGAACAGGTTTTCTACTGTTATCTAGCTATAGTGGATGAAAATTGGCAATAGAATTCGATTCCAATAAATAATTAGTTCGAGGACCAAAATAAAATAATAAAAGCTTATGGAATAAAATGTCGTGACACATAGGTTCTAGCAATGGTTGGTAAATTCAAGGCTTCTTGTTTAGAAAATGCAAAAAGAGGTCAATTGGGTAAAGACATAGCTAGATAATTGTATCTCTGTTTTTATGCAAGTAGATTCTAGTGCAAAATGATTTTTTTTTTTTTTAAAGTAATTATAACTTAGTTCATTTAGCTTAGTAAAATTAAGTTATTAATCCTTGTTGTTTTTCTAAACTACTTTTTAGTCCTTATATTTTAAAAATCATTAATTTATAACTTAGTTCCATCAATTGCACGTGGCTTTCTAATCATTTTTATTTTTATTTTTTGAAAAATATGTGTATTAATTATCTCATTTCTTGTATTTATCTTCAAAGGGTGAAATGGGATATATATATATATATATATATATAGCGCAGGTCTTAACATTTGGAGTAGATTGGCATTGTGTAGAAATTTTGTTTTACATAGATACTGAAGGACAGATTTTCTTGTTTGCAAAAGAGAACAACTAGCTAGCCTGGCCATGACAATCTCGAGAGATCTCTTTAAATAATACAATAATTAAGGATTTCTGAAGAACTAGAATATATGATACATAAAAAAGAAAAAAAAGTAAATAAACTATATTCTCGCCTAAAATAAAAAGAGGAAAATATGGAATTGAGATAAGCGCTTTTAAATGCACGAAAAAAGAAGAAGAAGAAGGGTAGTGTGTATCGCAAGGCATTAATTTATATTATCGCTTCTCATGCAGATCCAACAGCACTGAAAAAAAAGACATTAAAAAAGGAAGTCAACTGCTATACTACAACATTTGCGTGCAAATGCAATAAAACCCAACTTGGGAATCATGTTTTTGGTTGGCTATGTTGGGCTTCTTTCTTCTTCTTCTTTATTTATTTATTTTAAGATTAATTTCTGGATATTCAAATGGGTCTAGTTCTTGTCTTGTGAATGGTTGAGGACGTGAAGCAAGTTTTTGGCTTGGCAATATGGCAAATTAAGTGCTTTTGAGCTTACTGAACTATCATTTTATCAATATCAGTAATCTATGCTTTTGTTAATCGTAACGATCGATATGCTTTTGTTTGAGGCAACTTGGAACCGGTTTAGCGAGTAAGTTAGGAAAGAAACTGGCATTTGCTTAGTCATTTTCGATAAAATCTAGACTCCTCGTTGTACATTAAACGAAAAAAAAAGAATTGAAACTAACAAGGATTTTCCTGAGTGACCGAAACTTTTAATTTTCATGATCTCTTCATTCTAACTCTCATCTAGATAGAGAAAACAAGTACTACTACAGTGAAATACAATTATCAGCTAGCTAGCTTGTTCTTTATCCAATATGAAAAAAAATTATGGCATAATGCAGAGATGGGCATGAAAATTAAAATACCTCTGGGGTGCTTCGAGGATAGTGAATAGAACCAGAGAAAAGGATCTTCCGTTGCCCATCAATGATCAAAGATCTGCCATCGTAGGTTACATCTCTGCCATGAACGATACTACTACTGCTGATAACTGCTAAAACAGCTGCCACTATATGTAATACCCTCCTCATCTCTACTGATCACTGCCCAAAAATCTATATTCTATCTGCTAGAGAGAGGAACTACGATCTCTAGTTATGAATGTTACAACAATGGCAAGCTCCGTCACTTTCTATAAGTGTTTATGGCAAAACATGCTTATATGGGAATTGTAAGCTTAGTTTGGAGCTTTTCTCATATTCCCTCTCTCCAAACAGATTGTCTCTCTTCTATTTATACCTGTCATAAAATACACTAAAATTTAAATAATATATTATTATAAAATACCTGTAATTGATATAAAAAAAGATTATTTCTTCCATTTCATGTTTTTCACTTACAAAAATTCAATATCCTTTTATATTTCTTCCCTTATATATACAAATACCTTTAATTAATATAAAAGTTCAAAAGTTAATTTTTGTTGTATAAAAAATATTCATTGTTATAAAAATTTTATTGCATATCAAAATTTTAGGTGTAAAAATATTTTCATTAGTACGTTATTTTTTTATAATTATTTTAAATTTAATTGTCAATTAACTTAATGATTTTTTTATTTATTATCTTAATTTTAGATAAATTTTCTTCTTATATTAATATTGGTTTCATATAATATAAGATTAAATTTGATAACTAATAATTTTAATAAAAAAATATATTTTAAAAAATATGAACAAAAAAAAAAACTAAGATGACATTATAATTAATAATTTTATTAAATTGTGTAAAAAATCAAAAGGAACGATCTTTCAACACAAATGAAGCATTGGGATTTGTTTATGAAAAAAATTAGGAGGATCTTTATATTTAAATATGAGCCAAGGACTGTTGCATTTCCCTCATAGATTAACAAAGTTTGTAAACGTAATTTTAATTAATGCAAATTAATAAAATAATTGCGTTTAGTTCTCAAGTGGCAATCTCAATAAGTAAAAGGGGTAAAATCTCGAGTTCCTAATTGTGCTATTAATCTCTTATATTAAACTATAGGTTTGTTAGATTATGGGCAGTATACTACAGATTTGATTAGAAAAGATCTTACTACAAAAGTGTCTGTTCTCGGTCCTTGAAATTAGTAAGCCTGAAAACAAAAACAAAAGTATAATACAAAATTGAAAAATGCTGTAATATACAGTTGTAAGTTGTAACAAAATGTTAACAAGATGTTAGGAAGAGAGAAAGACGGCAGATGAGAAGGGTATAGTGTTGCATCTATATAAACTATTACGTGCCTTTTCTAATTTATACAGAACATGATTCTGTCACCCGTTTGCCTCCTACATATATATATGCATTTTGGTAACGATGTTTTGTAATGCATATAGGGATGGCAATGGATACCATGTATCGAGTTTCTAATATATCTATGTCCATTTTCAAGATCTAAGCCAATATCTACGTCTTATCCATCAAATCAATATCTATATCTTATGTATTATTCATTATACAGTAAATTCAGATATCCAAATGCCACTCACCCATCATCTTCAATTTCTAGCAAAAGTAATGGCTTAATATAGAGAAAAAAAGGATAATGGATGGGTCAAAATAGATCTAAACAGAAATCATGAATTTTGATGTTTTTTCACCATAAAATTATAGATCATGGTGCCATAAATTAAATAAATTATAAATCAATCGAAAATAAACCCATTAAGCATCACGTTCATCGACTAAAATATCTTGAAAATTAAAAAAAAAATTAAATATCCATTTTAAGACAATTTTAATCTTTAGTAATCTTGCCTAAGTCACGCAAATGCAAAACAATTTCTCTTTTTAGATCATGTATTAGTTTTTCTCGCTCACACTACGTTATGGATTGGATAAAATATATAAAATTATATAATAAAATCATTTCAGTTTGATAGTCTATATTATCATGTAAATCTATAAAAATATATAAAATCAAAAGTAAAATATATATATATATTTATAATTTTTTAATCAAAATTTTATATTTAACTATTTCTTATTTATGTTTTTTTTTTCATAATTTTTCTATTAGAAAAAAGATCTATTCTTGTTAATCCATGGATTCTTAACTAAGAATAAAATTAAATAAAAAAATTTTAAAAAAAGCTTTAGTGTTTTATAAGATTGTGTCAAAAAAACTAAATAATAATTAATAAAAACTAATGTAAAATTGAACAAAAGAAATTTATTTTTTTATTTTTATTTAATGCTGATGAGAACATCAATTTTCGAAAGAATGTGAATTTAATTTTTATATATTTATTCATAAAAGAATAAATAATATTAAAATAAAAAACTATATTAATTTGAATCATTGAATTGAGTGGTTTTAATGATTTAATTTAAAATAAATTAATTTTAAAATATTCAAAAATAAATAAAAAAGAAATAGTAAATGCTTAGTATAATAGTGGTTGCATAGTTAATTTCTAAAAAAGAACGATTCAATATTTTTTTTTATACATTATAACTATACTAAGTAAGTTTAGAGTTTGCAACTTAGTATATAATTTATTTCTTTTTTTGTTTGGTATTTTTTTTATTTTACCGAACATAAAAAAACAAAAAATAAGGATGAGAAATTAGGTACTAATAGTTGCCCTAATGCTTTTGTTACAAAGTCATTGAAAAGCCATTCATTCACTTTGTATAGAAAGCTTTGTAATAAAAAAAAGAATAAAAAGGAAACAAACAATGTGAATAGTAGGCAAGCAAAAAATAGTAATCTTTGAATTCAAATGACGAGTTGACCATTTGACCAAAAAAGGTTGAAAAAAACATGCGATATAAAAGACTATATTAGTGACAAACCATGTAGTTTAGAAGGACATGACAAAACATATTTTTTTAACAAGACATGACATACCACTCGACCTAGAAGTACGTAATCGACCACATGACAAACCACTCTAACCTATAAAGACGTGATAGACCATATTGGTTTGGCAAGATGTGACGGACCACTTTAATCTAAAAAGAAGTGAAAAAACACATTGATTTGGTAAAGCATTATAAACCACTCTAGCCTTACAAAACATTACAAACGACATCGATTTGCTAAGACGTGATGGACCATATTGATTTGGTAAGACGTGAAAAATCACGTTGATTTAGCAAGATGTTACGGACTATTCTATCCTAGAAGGACATGATAGACCACGTTGATTTGATAAGGTGTGATAGACCACTTTGACCTTGCAAGATATGACAAACCATGTTGATTTGATAAGATATGATAGACCATGTTGATTTGGTAAGATGTGACAAACCATTCTAACCTTGAAGGATATAACAAACCTTATTAATTTAGCAAGGTGTGATAGACCACTATGACCTTGTAAGATATCACAAACCATGTTGATTTGGTAAGATGTGATAGATTATATTGATTTAGACAATGCATAGCAAATTACCTAACTTGGCAAGATGTGATAGACCATATTGATTTGGCAAAACATGACGGACCAAATTGATTTAGCAAGATATGATAGACCACGTTGATTTCATAAGATGTGACAAACGACTCTAACCTAGAAGGACGTGATAAACCACATCGATTTGACAATACATGACAAACTAATACTTGCAAGATATGATAGACTATATTGATTTGACAAGATATGATAGACCACTCGACCTAAAAGGGCATGACATATCATATTGATTTAGCAAGACATGATAGACCACTCGACTTTACACGATGTGATAGACCACATTGATTTAGAAAGACATAGTAGACCACTTTGACCTTGTGAAACATGAAACACCATATTGATTTAGCAAGACATGATAAGCCATTTTAATTTAGAAATATATGATACGAGCATTCTAATCTAGAAGGACTTAACAACCCATGTTGATTTAGCAAGACATGACGGACCACTCTAACCTTATAAAACATGACATACCTTACTGATTTAGCAAAATGTTGATTTGATAAGATATGATAGACTACTCTAACCTAGAAAGACATGACAAACCATATTAGTTTGGTAAGATGTGATAAACTATATTGATTTGGCAAGATACGATAGATCACTTTAATCTTATAAGACATGACATACCATGTTAATTTGGCAAGATGTGATAGACCACTCTAACCTTGTAAGACGAGATAGACTATGTTGATTTGATAAGATATGATAGACCACTCTAACCTAGAAGGATATGAAAAACTATATTAGTTTGGTAAGATGTGCTAGATTTCAAGATGTGATAGCTCACTTTGACCGAGAAGGATGTGACGAGAACATGTTAATTTGACAAGGTGTGACGGACCACTTTAACCTTATAAGATATGATAATCACATTAATTTAGCAAGACGTGATATACCACTCGACCTTATAAGACGTGAGATACCATATTAATTTAGAAAGATGTGACAAACCACTATAACCTAAAAGGACATGACGAACGCGTTGGTTTAGCAAGACATGACGAGACCACTCTAGCCTTGCAAGACATGACAAACTATGTTGATTTAAATAGGCAAGCAAAACATAAGTAGCAAACTTAAAGTTTTTAGTGAAGCATAGGATGTTACTACCAAAACATAGGTTCCTCCTTCCTCTTTTTTCTTTTCATTTATATATGTTGTTTGGATTAAATAGATTCAAGGTTACGGGTCATCTACTTTCATTGAGCTTGTCTATTTGTATTTTTTTATTATACCCGCTAATATTGTATTCACTAGGATGGCTACTTAGATGACTACCTATTTTATTTGAATGGTGTTTGTGCCACTAATTGAATAAAAGATCGGTGTTCTTTTGTGCTCCTCTTTTGGTACCATCTCTAAATGTTTAGACTTTTGCCGGTACATATCAAAATCTAACCCCAAATGGTTGATATGACCTTTTATCTCAATTGCTTATAATTCATCACGAGGAAACTTATAATAGATTTCATAGAGAAAGACCTCTTATTGACCAAGTTTAATTAAGATCCTTAACATGTTATCATATGCCAATTTGATGTATTACCACATTTCATGAATAATATCAATTGCATGATCGTGCATAAAACCAAAGAAGAGTTTTTTTTTAAGGGATT